ATCCTTCCATTCACACCATCCAGTCAGAGATGAAGAAGCTTCTTGGATGAGAAGCAAAACATCTTCAAAGAAAAGCAAGAAAATCCAGTTGCCTCTTGAAAAAGCACCTTTGGGACTGGTTTCCAGTCTCTCAACTTCTCAGAAGTTAAGTCACATCTCTTTAATTAGGTTTTTAAATTATTTTTATTGGTTTTGATATTCCAATAAGATTTCATCATTATTTTGTGTTGTTGTTATTATTATTATCTAATTTTCTATGTATTGTTCTTTATTATTTAATGTATATTCTATGTACAAGAACTGTGGTAATGCAGTGGTTAGAACGCAGTACTGCAGGCTACTTCTGCTAACTGTCAACTGCCTGCAATCTGGCAGTTCAAATCTCATCAGGCTCAAGGTTGACTCAGCCTTCCTTCCTTCTGAAGCCAGTAAAATGAGGACCCAGATTGCTAGGGGCAATATGCTGACTTTGTAAGCTCTTAGAGCTTACAAAGCACCATGGAGCAGTGTTAGGTCTAAGTGCTATTACTGTTGCCTTTCTAGCACTTATGGAATGGAGCTGCAGAAATATAAAACCAAAACCTGGAATGCTGATCAAAACCTTCTGCCCTCCACTGCAATGTTCAAGATAGTATTTCATTCTTTAATTATCCTAAAATTAAAATATACTTAGTTTTGAAAATGTCAATATGCCGTGTGTCTTAATAGTAGAAGCTTCCCACTAGTCAATAACAGTGTTCCACGTGACTCATGCTGGCCACTTAACCACAGAAGTGTCTTCGGACAAGGCTGGGTCCCTTGGCTAAGAAACAGAAATAACCACTGCCCCCTAGAGTTGAGCATAACTGGTCAGGGGAAACCTTTAACTTTGCCACTCAATTTAAATAAGATTCCCCCATAATATTTTAATTTCCTTTCCAGATCCAAATATAATCATTTTGCATCTAGTCAGAATCTCAAACACTTTTGTGATTTTTAACCCAGAATTAAACGCAAACATCCTCCTTCTACTAACCCCTTACAAGCAATTTTATAGAGATCTTATTTCAGAAGAGTCCATAGTTTTCTTGGCTAGCTGCCTAGCCAAATAAAGCCAAAAGATGTAAAGGGAAATATTTTTTCTAATTGTTAGCATTTCCAAAGGAGCTTATTTTCTAAATACAATCGAGTAGTTCAGAAATATCCTACATAATGACATCTCATATTCATGGAAATCATATGTTATCAAGAATGTACTGTACATACTTTCCACTAAAATATCAGTGATATGTGCAGTCCAGGAAATTGGACAATATCATTACCTATTTTTGTCAATAGTATGATCCTGCCCAAGTTGTCACAGGAAGCAATTTTCCTTTTTCCAACTCCACCATTAACCTCATGAAACTGTAATAATGGTAAGTTACCAGGACTCATTAAAATGGTTTCTCTGCCTTAGCTTTCTCATGCCCTTGGATGATGTTGTAATATGTAGTAATTCAGATGAATCTTCAGTTTTTAATAATTGTAGGCCAGTGATTCTGAAACCTTTGGATTTGCCAAGGCTGAGTCTGAAATAGAGGAGTAGACCTCAGCTTCAGCTTTATTACCACCATTGCCATTCCAAAAGACCACCTCATGCCATTGCTCAATAGGGAACAGCCTCAGAGAATGGTGCAATTGCCCTGTGGGCTAGTGGCGCCCAGGATCTGCCATGTTCTTTTACCTTCAGGCAGTGTTCTCTTTCAGTTGACAGGCTCTGTGGCCTGCTCTGAGTCATACAAGGCTTTTCTTCTTGCAGAATAAAATTCCTGTAGCACTCTTGCAGAATGCTCTTCTGTGGCCTGTGGCCCAGAGGTGGTATTCAGCAGGTTCTGACCAGTTCTGGAGAACCAGTAGTGAAAATTTTGAGTAGTTCGGAGAACTGGCAAATACCACCTCTGACTGGCCTTGCCCCCATCTATTCTCTGCCTCCCAACTCCCGGCTGATCGGCTGGGTTTTCTTTGGTTGCCCTGCATAGGAGAATGGAGCTGGAAAGCAGGTTAGTAGGGTGGGGAGGGAATGGGATTTTGCAGTAACTTTCCCCCAGGAGTGGGGAAGGAATGGAGATTTTGCAATATCCTTCCACACTCACCAAGCCATGCCCACCAAGCCACACCAGGCCCACCAAGCCATGCCCACAGAACTGGTAGTAAAAAAATTTGAATCTCACCACTGCTGTGGCCTCAAAAAAAAAACAACACCAAAGCAGTCCCTGTTCTTACATGGTTATTGGAGATTCTAGTGGCCACCCAACAGCACACCCCATTTTTACACTAACTCAGGAAACTACACAAGAACAGGGAGTGCTTTCAAAAACAATTTTTGTCAGATGTTGAACTCTGGTGTGTCACCAAAAACATAATGGTGTATCCCCTTTTCAAGAATTGCATATCATAGGTCTGCCATCACTGACATATGATCTCAGAAGAGATCATTATTTACTAAGTCACTTCAAAATCTAGAATGAATTGAAAAGCAACTATCAAATGTGATGTGTTGATGAAATTCAAAGTACAACATCAGGTCTTCCGGTTTGAGCTTCTTTAGTGACAGACTGAAACCTCATCTCTGCGAGGCTTCGATCCGTGCTCGCCGCTGGAGCACCCCGAGCCAGCTGGTTTCGGGGCTAAGCCACCCTGTAGAGGTGGTGAAGAAGGGGGAGACTGCCAGCAGGGTTGAGAAGAGCCACATCTCTCCTCCCCAGGTGACCATTACTCCCTTTCCCGAAGGCGGTTGCAGCGGTGGTCAGAAATGGCCACCTCAAAGAAGAACTCAACCAGAAAAGAATGTGCAGGAGGAAAATAAGAAGAAAAAGTTTTGGTTGACCGGGTCAAACAGCAAAAGCAACAAATAAGGTACCCTGGAATTGAAACTGTTAAAAAACAATAACATTGTTCCCTAAGAAAAATTTAAAGCTGCGAAGGAGAGAGAAAAGGGAAAAGATTTGGTTTTCTCCTTTTCCTATACTGACAGCTAAGAGACTTAAGCAAGAAATTGGAAAAAAATCCACTTTGACATCAATAGGCATTTAATGCTGAAAATAAAAAGTCAAAGGGCTAATAAAGATTTCTGGATAATTAAAAGCTTTTGAAAACAGGAAAGGAGAGAAAAAGAATAAAAGGGTAGGATCTGGAAGGGAGGAGACTGCCTGGAATTAAAAAAGAACTTACAGCAAAATCTCAACAAGACTTCCAAAAGATACATTCTAACTGAAGTATTGCAACAAAAACCCCAGGAAGAGAAAGTCAAAAAAGAAAGAAGAAGATATAACTCGGGACTATCTGGATTACTTGATGATTTCTGGATTCTTGGTTATTGTTTTGAATGACTAAACTCTATCGGGTGGTTGTTTAAAACTGTTTAAAATGGCTCCACTTTTAGAAGAACTGAAAATAGAACTTAAAAAGTACAAAGAAGATGCACAAGAAGGGAGAGGTTCTTTTGGCTTCATATTTCAGTTTTTAGAAATGGAGGTTTGGAATTATGAGAAACAACAAGAAATGCCTGTAGAACAAGAAGATTGTGACAAAGAAGAAGCCATCTTTAATGAACAAGTAATCTTAGATGGGGGGAAAAAGGAAAGGGGGGAAAGAGAATGGAAAGTTTAAGATTGGGAAAAACAACTCCAAAAAACAAATAGAGTGAAAAATAAATATAAAATCAGAAAGCAACAGAAGAGGGAAATGCAGAAGAGAGAATTAGAACTAGAGAGACAAGGGGGTGAAAGGGGGAGGGAGAAGATGAGAGGGAAGAAAGAAAGGAAAAGAAGTTATAAAGGACAGAAGCAAAATATAGAATAACGGCCTATTTAGAGATAATGGGTGAAAACTTAATGGAAAAAGGGATTCTGCAAAGGTACATAAGATAGTATGGTTATATTAGAAGCAGAAATAATTTTAGAAAATATGAAACAATGTATGATTAAAACGTCTGATAAAATAGCTATCGTAATTCAGTGGAATGCTTGTCAATAAATAAATGTAACAAAAGTTATATTTAATGATTTATAAAACATATGTGAAGAGAAATAAGGGAAAAATTAATTATGGAGATTAAATGTGTTTTTAAGGAAGTATGATATTTAATTGAAAAGAAGTGTTAAAGATGTTAAGATTTTAATGATTATTAATGATAGAAGTGAACTGGAATGGAATGAGGGTTTATAATTACATATGTTTACAATCTTTCTTTTTTTAAAAAAAAAGAATATAGTATGTATTATAAGAATGTGCCAAGCAGAATTCAATTGGAAGTTATGTATTATGTATTATATTGAAAGTCATAAACTTAAGGTATATATTGAATATATAAGAGTTGAATGGATGTAATTAAAAGATATAAAGGTGTCATACTCCAATTAGTAACTACAGGAGAAAATTTGTTTAATGAGAAAAGATAATATGAAATTGAAACAGAACAGACAAAAGTTTAAATATAATGATTTGAATTGAGATGAGATAATCAAAATAAAATTGAGAAAATTAAAAGAGGGGGAAAACTATAGAAAATGTAAAATAGTATAAGATATGGAATAGAATACAACAAGGAGCATGAAATTGAGTTTTGTGTCTGTATAAAGGAGTTCAACCGGGGACCATGCTATTTTCAAAAAAGATGTTTTACTTGTATTTTGTGTGTGAAAACCCAAATAAAACTTTATTAAAAAAAAAAGAACAACATCATGTTTTGCCTTTTTTACATAAATGAACAGTTCTAACTGCCCAGCAGACACCTATTTCTGAGTTTGTTCCCTTAGCCTGGTGAAGATGTATATTTATGTATTTATAGAAGTTATTGAAAATAATGCAAACTAAGGAGTGATCAAGTATCAGTTGCAATATAGATGACAACCACATCAAAGACATACCCAGTTTTTTCCCCCATAGGAACAAGAAATATCACTAAAGAATAACCATGTAAGTAAATTAAGACATGCTACTCAATTGATGTATGTCATTATTTCCTGTTCATTGCTTACCTGATTCTCCTCATGAGAAACCCTCATTTGTTCTTTCAAAACAGACATTCTGGCTGCTTCCTCTTTGCGCAAAACTCTTTCTTTTTTAAGCTCTGGACTCCAGAAGGTCTTGATGCTATTCATGGAAGATCCAAGCTTACTATCCTTGATGTCTAGCTCTTTCCTTAGAAGTTCATTCTCTCTTTGTAACTCCTTCAGTTGAGCCTGTAAATCTAGCATGGTGCTGTCTCTTACTTGCCTCAGCATGGAAGGAATTTGATGATGGTGATGATGTGAGGAAGTGGTCAGCCCTCCATGCTGATCAGTATAAGAAAGGAGATCTGAATGAGAAAGGCCAGCAGAAGCAATATTAGGGCTGCTTCCCATCGCTGTAACTCGTCCACCATATATAGCTCGATTTGTAGCCCTTCCAAGAGTCATTGTGCCCTTTGGGAAAGTAGTAGATGCCACACCTTCATGGTCACTCAGATACATTGGTCCAGATGTTGCATAGGCAGCATTAAGTGACTGAATGTTCTCCATTGATAAAGTTTTACCTGTCCCTCCACCTCCTCCACTACTTGTTCGCCGATGGCCCAGACGAGGCGATCTTGGCAAACGTGGAGATCTGGCAGGACTGCCTTCCAGGTTACCGATTGTTCTTGCACTTCCATACATTTTGATTTTACTGTGAGGTACTACTTAACAAGAAACTATTCTTCTCTTAAGTAGGATGCCTAGCATTTATTTTCAGTTGGAAATGTTGGCCAACAGCTTCACAGCACTCTTCCAGAAGGCAACACATTCATTGAAATCAATTTTCCAGGTTCAAGATCTGAAAATAAAGCAATAAGGTTATTGTTGTGCAAGTAACAATATAGCACCAACATCAGGGAGAACTAATTCATTTCACATATCAGGTTACATAAATTGCAAATCCCACTCACTGAATGGTAATATTTTTTTAAGTCTTCATATTTATATTCTTTTCAATTAGTATCCAAAGGTTAGAAAAGAGGAAATGCTAAAAATACCATATTACAGTATAGGAGCACAGTGTTAAAAACTAATGAAATCTTGATGATTCTTCAGGTCGTATCATTAATTCTGAGTTTCAAAAATAAGATAAGCATTTAGTAAATAATGCTTAATTAAGGAAGATAAACTATCATCGTACTCAAGAACCAAACAACATTTTTTATTATTTATAGCTTTGCTTCATTTATATGTTATGAAATTTGGTCACTGAATAAACAGAATACAGAATACACAGAATCACATGGCCAGAAACATGATGGATAATTTCCTGCTCCCAAAGCAGCAATCATGAAGTTTAAACTTTATTGATTGATTTATTTTTAATTTATCTCTTTATAACAATTTAAATTGTCACCCATCTTTCAGCCAGCTCTGGGCAGCTCCCAATCCAAGATTAGAAGACCTTTAAAATCATTTTAAAAACTAAAAAAGCACAATCAGTTAAAATATAAAACATTAAAAACAACAAGATCCTGTTGGCAATCTGTGCTAATGTGGCATCCTCTGATCTTCTCCCAGTGCTTGATGGGAAAGCTGGGTCTTTAAAGCCTTATGGAAAGCTAAAAGTCTGGAGACCTGGGGGAAGAGTGGTTCCATAGGAAAAGTGCTGCCACAGAAAAGGCAATTAATATTATAGCAATAGCATTTAGACTTATATAACACTTCACAGTGCTTTACAGCCCCCTCTAAGCAGTTTACAGAGTCAGCATATTGCCCCCAACAATCTGGGTTCTCATTTTACCAACCTCGGAAGATGGAAGGCTGAGTCAACCTTGAGCCTGGTGAGATTCAAATTGCAGGCAGCCGGCAGGCAGCAGAAGGAGCCTGCAGTACTGCATCCTAACCACTGTGCCACCGCAACTCTTGATAAAGTACTACGCTTATCTTAAAATATGTAAATGCACTCCTCCTTATAAAAATGTAACAGATGAAAAAAGTATCAGACATCATGAAGAGGTACATACCCCATTTTAATTTTTTTTAAGTAATTTAATTAATTTCCTAATACTACCATTCTTCTATTTAAGATTTTCCAAAACTTTATTCACGGTTCCAAATTTGTGTGGGGGCGGGGGGAATGGAGAAAGCCGTGGCAATATTAAGATTACTGTTTGTTCTTTGTTTTTAAAAAATGCATTGCTTTCCCAAGCATCTCTTTATAAAAAAAAAAAAAAACTCCAGAACTATCTGATAACCCCAGTACTCAGAAGTAGGCTGCACTTTCATTGAAAAGGTCTTGTTGCTCGCGCCTGCGTGCTTGCTTTGCTCATATGCGCCGCTTTGGGGCTGAATCGCCGCTTCACAAAGGCAGCTAATCAACTCAGACAACTCTGGTGAGTACAGCAGGACCGCACGGAACTTGCCTGGGCTGGGGGAAAGTTAGATATTTAGGGAAAGTATGGAATAAGGGCAGGTGGGTGGACCCAGCCAGAGATCACAGCTAGGGGTTCACCCATACCTTGCCAACAATCCAGAAACCCACCACTGTCAGTACTTGTTATGCTCCAATCAGAAATTACTTGGAGAAATCCCCATACATTTACTGAAATAACATAACACCCTCTCTCTTTACAAAAGGAACTATTATTATTTCTGGTTTCTGGATCTCTGTTGTCTACTAAATACTTAAATTATGGTGAGCACAAACACTATTATACAAACGAATTTCATTTACACATTCCTAATTAAATGCAAACTATTTGTGTCCAAATCAGTCCAAATGAATATATCCAATATATTCATTTTTCATCTTTTAATTATAAATGCTACAATGGTTCTTTTCTTATCTTCTAGAATTGTGCTTACAGGGAAAGGTCACATATAATAGTAAAATACAACCATGAAATGATTGAAACATAATGATGAGTAGTAATGAGGTTTCTTAATATGCATTATTAAAATTCTACATAAAATTCTACAAAAAGATCAACTATAAATAGCAAACAAAAATTATTAAGAAGGGAAAAGGAAGATGCAAAGGAATAAAGATGAAAAGAAATAAAGAAAAAATAGCTTTCAACTTTCTTTGAAGCAGTTACAAACAGAGGTGGTATTCAGCAGGTTCTGACCAGTTCTGGAGAACCGGTAGCGGACATTTTGAGTAGTTCGGAGAACCAGAAAATACCTCCTCTGACTGGCCCCACCCCCATCTATTCTCTGCCTCCTGAGTCCCAGCTCATTGGCTGAGTCTTCTTTTGTTGCTCTGCACAGGAGAACAGAACTGGAAAGCAGGTTAGTTGGGTAGGGAGGGAATGGGATTTTGCAGTATCCTTCCCCTGCCATGCCCACCAAGCCATGCCCATCAAGCCACACCACGCCTACCAAGCCACGCTCACAGAACCGGTAGTAAAAAAATTTGAATCTCACCACTGGTACAAATATTTTAAAAAAAAAAATAACCTTGCAATCTAAAATTCAATAGTACCCAGTATTTCTGTAAGTATAAACATTTCTAATAGTCAAATCCCAAAATTTATGTAGCATTTCTTTCAGTTTCTATCAAAAAGTACAAAAGTGGTTTTCAACAAAGTTAGATGCTATAATGAGGTGAACATGGGAGTCTAATCTTTACAATTTAGCTTTGGTTACTTCCAGCAAAAATGGAAATAAACCTCAGGTGAAATTGGAGTTATCATCAAGTCATTTAAAAATACAAACTAGAGAATGATTAAGTATACATAGGAATATGTATTTAGAATTTTATCTACTATGTTCGCTCTTTTTATTGATCTGCATCAAATCTGCTTCTAATAATATAAATTTGAATGTATTGATTTAAATTAAAACTATATTCTTAGTTGGTGCCAGTGTATTTATACTCTTCCTTTCTATTCAAAAATAAAATAAAAGCTTTCCATGGTGATGAAGTCGATGCTTGCCTGCATATTTTCAGTTTTTAATCCCCATCCTAACTGAACATGGACAATGTCAAGTGTTTTATTCCCTTTACTTCTGCTATTTGTTTTTAAATCACATTTATGCCAAAGGTCCTTTCAAACGCAGGACTGAGTTCTGTGGCTTAAATGCCTGACCTTCACTACTAATTAACTCTCTTACATACAGCTTCTTTCTTTGGAATCCATTGGCTGTTAGTACGTTAGTGAGAGTGTGTAGTTCGGTTTTTAGGTGTTGTTCGTCGGCTAAGCATTTTGTTCTGGAGATGAGTGTCTCAGCTACGGAATTGATCTGTGCTGGGTGGTGGTGTGAGAGTGCGTGTAGATAGCGGTTTACCCACCTAATCCAAAAAGAAACCCCAACCAAAATCCAAGACAGAGAACAAGAGAATGGCAAAGCCCTCCTCCCATATATAAAAGGCACTACAGACAAAATCAGCAAGATCCTCCAAAAACACAACATTAAAACAGCATTCTGCACAAACAGAAAAATATCCACCATCCTAAGAAACCTTAAAGACAAAATCAAGTTAGAAAACCAAGGAGTATACAAAATCCCTTGCACCGCCTGCCCCACCACATACATTGGACAAACTAACAGAAGAATAAGTGCACGCATTGAAGAACATAAGAACTCAATCAAAAAAGAAGAAATGACCTCTTCCCTGGTCCAACACCTCGAAGCCACAGGACATGAGATTGACTTTAAAAATACCAGAACTATGGCCAAAACCGAACACTTCAACAACAGAATAATCAGAGAAGCCATAGAGATAGAAAAACGCCCACACAGCATGAATAAACGAGATGACACCTCCCGCCTACCAGCCATTTGGAAACCCACTCTCATGAACAGACAAGTACCTAACATGAAGAATGACACCAGACCCACATCCACGAGGGCCACACAAGATGCCACCACCTCACTTCCACGTAGAAAGCAGACTCACACCCACACAGAAGATGAGACACAACCACGGACCAGAAGCCGCACTGCAGCTGCATCACTACCCTCTTCAAAGCCCTCCGAGCCATACATGAAGCGAACTGACACCCACCATGAAGATGCGGCACGACCACGAACTCGAAGCCAAACAACAGGATCACAGCTCACCAGCTCAAATCCCCCAGCAACTAAGACTAACCTGAGCACAACCAAGCCCCCACCCAAACAGAACACACCTCCAGCCAATCAGAACATGGCCAACCCCCACCCAATCAAGTCACACCCCCACTAGCAGTTAAAAGGAAGAAGCAGCTGCAAGCTCACATCACTCTGAGAAGCACAGAGCCGAAGACACAAGCCTGAAGATGATGAATGAGACTTCATTGAAATGTTGCCTAGATACTTCCAATCTTACGCGGGAGAAAACCCAAATAACCAAAGATACACATACAAATACCCGCAAGAACCTCAGTGTGTGTGTGTATGTATGTATGTATGTATGTATGTATGTATGTATATGTATATGTGTATATATATATATATATTTGTTTTCTTATGTTTTCGTGGGTACTTACATGTATGGTATTCAGCTTTGTTTGGGTATTTTCCCACGTCATTATAGTTGTGCTTTTAAAGTTGTCGCAACGTTTCGGCAGAATCTCATCTGCCATCATCAGGCTTCTGTATTGTGTTCATCTGGACGAACACAATACAGACAAACACAATACAGAAGCCTGATGATGGCAGATGAGATTCTGCCGAAACATTGTGACAACTTTAAAAGCACAACTATAATGATG